AGGGTTTAGGGTTTAGGCTTTGCTTCCAGTAGACTTTAGAGGCATCGGAGCTGCACTCAACTTGTCCCCTCTGGGGCGCCTCCACCTTCCGCCACTCCATTGACAGACGATCCTGATTTACAGTGCGGCCGGCTTAGGGTTTAGGGTTTTTGGGCTTGGGGCTGTCTTCTTTTGCTTAGGGAAGATAGCGCTTCGGGTTGTTTTGGGCCTCTTGGGAGGTTCGAGATTTTCTTTACACGAAGCCTAAACATGTTTGAAACTGAAACTCGAAGACCTGCACAGCCTGAAGAACAAAACATCGAAACCCAAACCCTCAGTAAGCCCTCAAACCGTAACCATTTGTAGAATCCTTATAGAGCATCCTACAGAGAACCCTTCACCCTCTGTAGAGCCTGGCAGGTATTCTAGAACCTGATGAACTACAACAGGATTTTCGGATACATTACGGCGTGACTATGATAAGAAAACAAACTGATCGTTAATACTAACATCCCTTTGCAGCCCCTGATGTGATTCTACTGCAATATACCCTCCAAACCCTACTCTTTTTTAATCATGATGAGACCCGTATGTTATAAATATAAAAAACCCTCATCGATCCCTGGGTTCTTTCATTTGAAGGAACTATAGGGCCCTAATGAATAGAATCGGGCTTTGGGGTTCTTCATACTATACTTATAATAAGGAACCCCCCAAAAAAAGTAGTGGCAATCATTTAGACCCCTATATTACGCTGAATGGGTGCCCGCCTCCTCCGTTGCCAGGACTGACATCAGATGCTGAAAGGCCTCGCAGTGTTTCGGGCTTGGGCTCCTTCTAATTTCCTGCGAAACTAGACCCTAAACCCGAAACACTGATCCCCCAATAATAAAGAGGGTTTAGGTTGGGTTGACGGCTTAGGGGCTACCATAGGGCTCCCTATCAGGGGTGCTATAAGGCCTACTGCACGGCTTTAGAGATCCTTAGCGGAAACTGCAAAAGGGTTGCTATTTGGGCTCTGCAAGAGGTATTCGGGTTTAGGGTTGTAAGCTTAAGGCTTGGGGCGTGACTGTAGGGTTTAAGATTTAGGTTTGGGAGGTTTAGGTTTGGGAGGTTTAAGGTTTAGAACATATCTTGAGGGCATTGGGACTTGGGTCTGAGGTTCAGGGTTTTGGCTTTGGCAATTTGGGGTTTTGGGTCTGTCTACGGCTCGTGGTTGGGGGGGGCCTTCTGGTCTAGCCAGAAAAAGGGTGTGGGATTCCTAAACCCTAAACCCTAAACCCTAAACCCTAAACCCTAAACCCTAAATGCAGATCATGACGCACCAAGCCCTGAAAACCCTAAACCCCAGAGCTGAAAACCATGTTGGTGGAACCCTGATAGAGCCCATCCAGATCGCTTCGTGGGCTCAGTTTCTCTGGAGCTCTTGGAAACAAGAAAAAACCTGACAAAATCCACAACAGCCTTGTAAAACCTGGAAAAAGCCTTATGAAATCTACAAATCCTATAAGCCCGCCTATAGCCCTATACTGCAAAGCTAGAAAGCTGCTTCAAAAACCCCAACAAGCCCCCAAACCGCAATAGAGTAACCCCTGTAGCCTGTAGCAGCCTTTGCTGTACGTAGGCCTTTAGAAACATGCTATAGCAACCTGAAAGCCCTAGACCCGAAAAGGAATCCTGGAAAAAAAATTCTGGGCCCTCATCATTATCACCGAAACTCTATACCCAAAACCTAAACCCTAAACCCCAAACCCCAAACCTAAATTGAACCCTAAACCCCAAACCTCAAAACCCTAAACCCTGCTAAAACTAGAACCTCAAGCCTAAAACCCTCCTCTGGAAGCCCTAATCTGGAAACCCTAAACCATAAACCCTGAACCCTAAATCCGAAAACGGACGAAGGCCTCTTGAACGCGCTGCTTGCAGCCCATCTCCCTGAGCTTCTTAGGCTGCTCTTAGGGTTTTGGGGTTTCAGGGTTGGGGGTTTAGGGTTTAGGGTTTTGGGGTTTAGGGTTTAAGGGTTTAGGGTTTAGGCCCTAAGCCCTAAACCCAAAGCCCTTAAAGAAATCATGTCCCGGAGTCCCGCTTGCACCCCTCGTGCGACGGTACAGGGTTCAGGATGCGGGTAGCTCTCTAAACGAGTAGGGTCTCTTTTGGGCTCCTTTTGATAAGGGTGCCGTACTATATTGGGGACCTAAAAAGGGACCCTAATTTAGAGAACTGCCCATTTGGAGATAGGGTTCGGTGTAGGAGCACGACCACAAGACGTCGAATGACACGGAGACGCCAAGACCCCTGAATCAAGGAAGGGGCCTTACGTTGTCATATCAATAGATCTTAAGATATTGTCTTGTGATTATATGACTTATAGGCGGTGTTCAAATCTCTCAGAATGTCTGCCAATACCTGCAAGCACGACTAAAACTACGAAAACAGCATGCTGGCAAGTGGCAAGATCGCCATTGCTGCGGCCAGCTGCGGCGCTACTTCCCTTCTTGCTCGGCCTCTTACCATTCAAGCAATTTCCGTTGCTGCTGCTTCTGCCTTGCGCTGCACAGGTTCCATTATGCTGCACGCCACCGTAGCGTCATGCCTTGCGGACTCGCCCTGCGAAGCCTCTGCGACGCAATTCTCGTTGGCTCTTGACATGCTTTGGCTTTGGCATTGACATTGAAAGCACATGTTTAGGGTTTAGGGTTTAGGGTTTAGGTGCTGGCCCCGAAGTGCAAGCGCTTTTTTGCTTCTTTGGCATCTCATTACAGAGCTGCGGCAAATCTTCGCGGACTCTCTGCGGCTGAGGTCGAGACACTGCTTGGTCCCTTCATCAGCGAGCAGGTAGCTCAGGATCCACACACGACTAAACTAAACTTACCTAAAAGCTGCCGGAGCACCACCTGCAAGAGGACAAGGAAGGTAACGGAAGCCCCTAACAGATTGTACTTGCCCGATCTCGCCCAACAAGTTGCACTAGAAAAGCGTAACACTGCAGAGTACATCACAACATCACATATCACAAGATTATAACATCATGCTGCATAGCATCACACCAACAGTTGTCAAACATAGCAGAGAACAGCTTAGCACATTCAGGTAGGTGCAGATCTACATCTGTACATCCGACGCCTGCCATGTGTGCACTTTCATACATACACGCACCTTTCTCTGCATGCCTCCTCACATGAAATGTATGCTCGCCTGCATGCATACGTACACACGTGCATATGTACGTACGTATGCATGCATGCATCATACTTGCGTGCGTACATGCATACATACATGCATGCATGCATACATACATACATACATAATTGCTTAGGAACACACGAGCATGCATACACCCATGTACGGAGACATGCATGAATGTGTACATGCATACGTGCGCACATACATGCATAATTGCAGACGTGCATACCTACGTACATACCTACATACGTACGTACATACATATACTTACATACAAACATACGTACAAACAAACAAAACAGCAAACAAGCAACAACACCACAAACACACAAACAAACAAACAAACAAACAAACAAGCAAGCAAACAAACAAACAGGCAAACAAACAAGCACACAAACAAACAAAAACACACACA